TCTACAGAGGGATTCTGAGGATACCATGGACTAAACATGCAAGCACAATGAATTTCCTTTTGTAGACAATATTAAATAATTTTTGAAAATTTGAAACAAAAAAATAGATAAATGCTCACCATTCCCCGAATGAAATAAAAATTCCCAGAGCTGCCTTTCAACACAACAGAGATCACAAGAGGGTGTTAAATAAACTACTATATACCTTGAAAATCTGTGTGTTTTAAGCATAAAAAGCAAGAAGAGAGAAGGTATTTCAAATTAATGACAAAATTTTGAGAAAAAATATTTCCTCCATTCTTAAGGTTTGTACTTATAATGTCATGAGCCCTGGGATCAATTAAGCTCAAAGGGCACTACATGTTGTGCCTCCATAGCCACAGTGGTATGTCTAAGGTGAAATAGCCTGACATGCCCATTGCTTTTCAAACTGGTTTTGAATTCAGAATGTTCCTTCAAAATTTGTTACCATGTCAAGGCAAGATAAAAAGGAAAAAAGCCCTACTATTTAATCCATAGGTTGGGGGGGCTTTATACAACATATGACCCAACTGAGAGAGGAAGATTGTGTTGCACCAATATTCCAAGTGGAAAGAATCTGACAATATCAAAAATTGGTACAGGTATTCCTCACCCACTGTTTTTTAAAAATTCCCTTTACATCATTTGTTTTTCGTGAGAGTTGTTGAAAAGTGTTAAAAAAAAAAAAAAAAAAAAGAGAGAAGAGAGAAGGAGAGAAATCTGAGGTTTGGTTATTTGGTCAGATTTTGGTAATTAGGTCATGCCAAGTACTTTTCAGCACCCCCCACCAAAAAAAAAAAAAGAAAAAAAGACATGTACAGGTTTCTTTTGATCTTGAAAATTACATCAAGTGAAGAAGCAATTACCATTAATGCATATAGAAAAGTTTTTTTTTCTTAGCGCTTCCTCATAGTTTGCTTCTATATAAAAAAAACTGAGTTTTGTTGTCTGAAAGGCTTGAAATATGATTGCTTTGCCTGATACATGTCTTATTGTACAGTTCTTTGAAAGCACAGAAAATATCCTGCATCCTGCACGAAACCTACATGTACTTGCAAAATTAAAGCCAAACTTTTCTGCAATCATTTCCATGCTGTAAATTGTAGCAAAAATATAATGGCCATTTGTTAGGTCTTTGAATGATCAAAAAAAATTCTATATAAATATATGGTAAAGGAATGGACTAATTTTGGACAGAAGAGGAAATCTGTATTCAGAATCTCACAATATTATCTGGATTTTATACACTGTCCTTGAGCAATAGCAAAGAATATTTTAACCACCAGATTTTAACCACACAATTTATCAATTCCTTATTTTGTTGATTATAATTTTAAACATCTTCACACAACTGTAAACAATCACTGAGGCAAATTTTTAATAAAACAAAAACAATACATTATTCAGTTCCCTCTCAATGCACTGCCATCAATGGTTAGTAAGTGGTTTCAAAACTCCTTAAAGAACTGTACCAGACTCAGCCGAGATTAGTAAATAGTCATACATTGTATTTCTACCATAAAGTAATAATTACTAAACCTATCTTGACAACCATTGCTTGAAGGTCAGTCTTATCTAGATACCCTGTATTGTGTGGCCTTATACCAAACTCAGTACATATTTACAATAACTTATTAAGGGGAGGTAAATGTGTTGACTTAGCATTTGATAGTTTTTAGCCTAATTTTCTAATAACTTTGTTTTTCAGACAACACGTTCTAATAAACATTTTTGTAAACATTTTTAAAATTTTAAAAATTGCCTTTCCTAAAGTTTTGGAAAATAATATAATACGTAAAAAAAAATGTGTATTTTTGTTTATGAAACAATTGTATTAAAGATAAATATACAATTGTTCTTTTTAGAGACTAAAAAAATCCTAACGACCCTAGTTCTAAAAGAAGCAGAGTAATGAATGATAAATGGCAGAATGTACCTAGTTTAAAATTACTCTACCACATATATTCTCGGTCAGTTTAAGTTTGGTTCTATTTTGTTTCTCTGCAGAAATATTGAAACAGATAAAAAGTCAATATTCACCAGTTAACCAAAAACACTAGCAGACTTTTCTACTGTTTAATGAGGAAATTAGTAACAAAAATCAGTCAGTATTCTTTTAAAAGCACGTTGTTTTCAAAGGAAAACATTGCATTTCTATTTTTAAAGCAAAGACCAACTATTCTTTTGTTTTTTTGTTTTTTATTATTCAAAATCGGATTTAATGTCTCTGGGAAATTAAAAATAGTAAATAGCAACTATATGTTCTCTTGATTGATGAGTAACGAAAATAAAATGAATAGTAGGCAGTTGTAAAATTGTATTGTAGAATCAGTTAAATCAAGCATTATTAATCATACATAAACTTTATGTACATGGCGAGTAAGCCTGCGTGAAATAAATTTCACTTCAGCTACCAGACCTATATAAACAATAAAACCCCCCAAAATCTATTTCACGCTTCAGTAAAAAAAATAATAAAAGTTTTCTCCCCCTATAAAATTAGTTAAACTACAAGCACTTGCCCCCACCCCCATTTTTCTTTTTAAAGTATACCCCCGCTCCTTGCCATGTGTAAAATATTAAAAACAGCTGGGTATGAGAATGGAAGTGGGGGATATCCTTCTTGATTTCCAATAGTTGGCGTTTAGGCCTAATCACTTTTTTTAATGAATAGAATTTTTTGTGTTTTCTTTTTTAAAGATTTCTTTTTCTTTTTTTTTTTAAATTGGTAAATGAAACGAACCCCGTTTTTCAATTGATGCAATGAATTAAAAAAAAAGAAAGAAAGGAAGAAGTGGGGAGATCAGAAGATGGTTAAGAGAAAAGGAAGTAAAAGTAAAAATTGAACTAAGCGGATGGAATCAGGTGACTAGAAGGAAGAAAATTAAAACTTTCAGACGGACAGAACTAAAAATAAGGAAATAAAGAAATAAGGAGGGGAAAATAAAAGAAAATGTTACGTGCATAAATGCAATCCTATGAATGAAAAATGAGAGAGAAAGAGAAAGTCTATCTCATCTCTCTCGAGTCATTCTCTATCGCAGAATATTAGAATTGGTCAAAAAACATTGTTGACAAACCAAATCCTATACTTTTTCAACCACCGATATTCCTCGAAGACACATTTTAAAGAATATATCATATATATGTATTTTTAAAATTTTAAATTCAAATCCTACATTTTCATTACCCCGAAGGTTTTCTTAAAATATTTTTAAAATATAAAGAACGAAAAATACCCCTGTAAATCACAAGACTTTAGACAAATGTTAAAAGTAAGACAGTATTGCGCCAATCGTCCAAGTCAGAAAAGCTTAAATAAATAAAGTCAATATTCGAATTTTTTTTTCACCTGGACTCGAACACCAACCACTGGCGCCAAATCGAACGCAACTTTCGTCGTGCCAATGCATCTCAGATGATGATGATAAAGATGAATAATTAGCGACTAGTCTCATGGTACAAGACCACATGAAGAAAATAGAATTAGGTAGATTATATATTGCACCAAATTTACAAGTGGAGATGATCTGCTTGTGTTTATAAACCGTTTGAAATTCTGCTATCTATCTACCTGCATTTGAATACCAACCTCTCGCAGAAACGGGGAATCGCAATTAGTAGTACTACACTAGAAGACCAAACGAAGAGATAAATGTAAAAAGATTGTATTGCGCCAGTCTTCCAAATGTGAAAAGCCTATCTACATTGAAAATAAGTATTTGAAATTCTGGATTTTCACCGGGCTCGAACACCGATTGCTGTCGCCGGTTGGAAATAATACGTAACTACTGAAAATTGGGTTTCGTTTATTTATAATTTATGCTTTTCACTCGTGTATGAGGGTAAAATAAATAAGGAATATTATAGAATAGAAAAATGACACATTTTTGTTTTGTTTTATTTCAAGTTTAAACTCAAGCTAGAATAAATTTTTAGTTCCGGCAGAAACGCTGATCAGATAAAAAAAATATTTAATTAAATTAACTTTAATCAGTTTTTTGATTGGCCACGTCTTTATTCTTGATTTCAACATTTTATTTTTTAAGAGGAATTTTGTTAATAATACAATTTCAGTAGCAAAAATAAAAAATGAATGACAACGAAAAGGAGAAAAGAATATTTGTTTTATGTTTAATTAAATAATTTCTTAATTTTTACTTAAAGTGAGGAATGTGTAGTGTTGTAGTCGTTGCAAAATATTAATTTGGTTTCCAAATTTGAAAATTGAAGGATTAAACTTCAGTACATTTTATGTGCTTAGGCAGACCCCCCGACAATTTGTGAAGGAAAGAAAATAAGAACAGAGATGGAAACAAATATTGCATATCGACTTTTTTCTTCTTTTTTTTTTTCTTTTCTTTTTTGCAGAAAAAAAACGGACATGGAATTTTGACTTCAGTCTCATTCCTTCCCCATTTCAGAAAGAAAAGAATCTGGGAGGGGAGAAGACGAAAGCGATTTATTTTTCTGCTAAGAAAAGGATTGGGATCGGTTAATACTTTAATTTATAAACAGTTTTGTTAAAATTTGAAATTAAATTTTAATTAAAATTGCAATTATTGGAAATAGGAAGAAATTAGGTTGGTTGGATGTTTTTTTTTTTTTTTAGCGGAAAAGAGGTTTGAAATTAACACGCGGTTACGTTGGAAAGTGGCAAAGAATAAAGCATCTGGCACAGATGATTTTTTTTTAAAATTCTGTTTAAATTATTATTTAAAAAAACAAATTAATCCTTTTTTTTTTTTAGTAAGGATTTAAAAAACGAAAGCTGAGACAGAGAAATAAATTGGTGATAAAGAACTCACCGGTATTTTCTTTGTAAATAATTCCTGTTGTTTTAAAATCTACACACACAGAGTTATTCCGACAATAAAAGAAGAAATGAATGAATGAATGAACCTCGGATGTCAAATTTTTAGCTTGAATGAAGAAGTCAGGGAGTTTATTGTTGATATTATTGGTAGGCAACTGCTGCTATGTTGTGGCTATCATTTCCAGAGTCATTTGCTGGCTTCGTTTTCTTTTATCACTTCTTTCTTTTTCCTACTTGCTTTGTCTGATATTTTATCGGCAATAATAAACATTGTGAACAATCAAGAAGTAATGGCAAAAAAAAAAAAAAAAACGAAAAGAAAAAGATGAATATAAACGATTACAAAAAGATCTACCGGCAACAAGCCGGGGAAAACTGAGTGAATATAAAGCTGCAATTGATACGAAGGGTCTTCTACCTCGTGGTCTAAAGAGTTGCAGATTTCACACTGCTGAATTGAAAAAAAACCCGACAAAGAACAGTATTTTGAAAGCTGATTTTTTACAGTCAGGCCGGCTTTTCTCATTTGAGATGACCGGCGTTGTATAATCTTCCTTCGTATTTGGACCTGTGCCGGGCTATAATAAATTTCGTGAAATTAATAGAGTAATAGAAAAAAAAACCAGCCTCGTGGCTGAAATAGTTTATCTTATCAGTTTTTTAAATCCTGATCTATTCTCCTTATCATAATCTTACCTTCCTACCACCCCCTTTTTCATTCATAACAGACACAATTAATTAACGCTCTAAGTGGTTCTCAAACCTTGTATTAGTGTATTCCTGTAAAAATCAGGGCTTTAGTTAGATTAGATAAAATAAATGAAGAACTTTATTTACAAATAAAAGCAGAAACAGATTTTTCTTAATCTTCCCAAATTGTACCCGTTTTGTTTGGCCTCACTCAGGCTTTTCTAATACTATCTATCTATTGCAATCTCCTCAAATATATCTATCTACCGCAGTCTTTTCTTAAATCCATATCTATATCGAAATCACTTCCTATCTATCTCTCTAGTTTGCTAGCTATTGCAATCTTTTCAAATCTATATATCTATCGCAAACTCTTCATCTATCTATCGATCTATCTATCTATCTATCGCAATCTCTTCCTATCTATCTATCTATCTATCTATCTATCTATCTATCGCAATCACTTCATAGCAATCTCTTCACATCTATCTATCTATCTCTCTATCTATCTATCTATCGCAATCTCTTCACATCTATCTATCTATCTATCTATCTATCTATCTATCTATCTATAGCAATCTCTTCACATCTATCTATCTATCTATCTATCGCAATCTCTTCACATCTATCTATCTATCTATCTATCTATCTATCTATCTATCGCAATCTCTTCACATCTATCTATCTATCTATCTATCGCAATCACTTCATAGCAATCTCTTCACATCTATCTATCTATCTATCGCAATCTCTTCACATCTATCTATCTATCTATCTATCTATCTATCTATCTATCTATCTATCTATCTATCTATCTATCTATCTATCTCCAAAGAAGTGAATATAGTTTTTGCAAAATTCGAAGTAGGAACAAGATAAATGAACCTTATTAATGCTGCTCTATCTCTTCATAGAGCACTGTTATTACGAAAATTGGTTGTCTTAAGTTCTGTTAAGAAAACGTTATCTCCCGGAAATACTCAGTTCGACAGTTTTTTAGTGCTCTTTACTCTGTGTGTGTGAGCTATATTTATGGGAAAAGAATGTTCTATATCGGACATAGAGAGTTTGTACTTTGTAAGTATGGACATAGAAATCAACACTGCATGGTGACTGTCAGTTTCACGCCTCAAACGATCTTTCAAGACACCATCTGCATATAAATACCACGTAAATAAATCAATTAATCGGGGGTAAAAAGAAAACGGTAAGATTCCTTGCTGCATCAAATGGTTTATTCTTGAAAAAAAAAGAATAAAGAAAAAATAGGATTTATTTATGAAAACAGAGAGATTTTGAGTGCTTACTGTGAAAATCAGCGTTTCTATCACCTGTAAAAAATATACAATTTCTCAAACTCACAGCAAACCCTTATCGAGGTACATCCACGAAATCGCTAAAAAATTAGCATACTGTGATGAAAAAATGCTCCAAACGTAATAAAAACAGTTTTATCGTCAAAATCTTTATGTTATTATTAAGAGGAAAGATCAAAGTATATTTTGATTATTTAATTAAATTCATAATCCTTTTTAGAACATTCGAAATTTTGATTAAAAATCTTGATTTTCTTGCGTCAGCGAAATTTTAGCATGGCAAATGTTAGCGTCTTTTTCGTGGTGACAGACACATTAATTTGGAAATTCTTGCAAAAATCAAATAATTGTCGGATTGTAATGAAATTTTCAGTACTTATTCACAAATGAATGAAATTATTTTAGAAATCTTTTCTATTAGAAAATTTTGGTAAAAAAATATTTTTTTACATGTGTTTCACACCCTTAATTTTGAAAACTTGTGAAATTCAACGTGATAATTTTTAGTGATTAGTTTAAAAATAAAAAAAAGAAGCAGAAACTCTTTGGAGAATTTAAATCACTGGTTTTGTTTTTTTACAAAATCGGACCCCGCCTTACCTTAAATCTGTTCTGAATCGAAAATTAAAAAACGCAACAAAAGTAAGACATTATTTTAGAGAAGCTTTTAATTGCTTTTATGAATAATAAGGACAATAATACTGTCTTTCTTATCTCACAACACAGTTATAAGGTAAAAAAAAATCCTTGTTAATTCGCACCGCATAATTCATAAGTTTACTTTTTAAGCTGTTTTAAATTTTAGCTTAAAAAAACACTAGAAAAAGTAAACACATTGTTCCTATTCCCGTCTACACCAGATCTGTTCAGTGTGTGAAGTATATATATTTTTTGAAAAACATAGTGGTTGTTACAATATCAATAAACTTTCAAAAGTCTCACTGAAATTTAAAATAATGTTTTATATTGAAATGTTATACTTTTTTCATGTTTATACGAAAAGATCCATATAGAATTCAGGTTCCATACAAAAATATGACATACACCTGAAAATTTAAATTAATTGAATTGTACATCAATGTCACCCTTAGAAACATCTGGCACATAAATTTAATTTGAAACATTTGTTTTTTTTTAGCAATCCTCATCTCTTTACTTACTTTCATCTTCATCAATATTAAAAAAAAAAAAAAATGCTGCCTTGTTCCAGTAAATTTATACTGTGTCAGGTGTATGATGAATTTGAAATACTGTACTCACTGTAAGAATTACAGCATTTCACTTCACTGTTTGTTGTGTTATTAGAATTCAATAATTTTAATTCAAATATGTTATATTAGCCGCGTGACTAAACTAGGATTTTACCAAAAAAAAAAAAAAAAAGAAAAAAATGCGGGAGAATGAGAGTAGAAAGAATGAAGTATTAGACAAGCTAAACATGTATATTTTCTTATGTGTTTATTTTTTTAAAAGTAAACATTAATAAAACCGAAAACGTTAACATTTTTAAAGAAATTAGGTATCATTCGCAACCCTGAGTAGAAATCTATCAACAAAAAAACGTTTGAACTCTGAAGTTTTAATTTAACCGCTTCGGTTAGACCTCATCACTCAAAATAAATAAAATAAAATTATATTAATTAAAAAAATAAAACAAAACAAGTGGATGTTCGGGTTTAAAAATAGGTATGTTAAAGGAGAAAGTCAGCTTTTCCTTGTATTATTTATTGAATAATTTGTTAAAAAAAAGCACAAAAAAAAGAAGAAAAAACGCGGTTTTGGCATTTAATTTAAAAAAAAATGTATTTTGGGTTTATTTAGTCAATTTCCTTTGCTTATTTATTTATTATGGCAATTTACAATCTTTACTTTGTAAATATTGTAAATTGTCACACTGAGTAAATTTTACTATATTATTTAAATTTAATTAATAAAATTAAAAAGGTTCAACTTATCAACGTAGAGAGAGAGAACGGGTTTCGTGATGTATCCACTTGTCAGGGAGCATGATAGTAAAACTGAACATTTCAATTTACTTGTTACTATCTCTTGCTACTTAGTACTTTAATTACAAACAGTGCTTGCCTTTAAAAAAAAAAAAAGCGTTTATCTCCCACATATACGCAAGTCGACATTTTTTTTTATTTTATTACAAGTTACAACCTTTGTCTTACGCACGCGCGCGCGCATACACACACACACTCACGAAAAAGGTCTCATATTCATCACAAATCATTCAGTTTCCCTTTTCTTCTCACCCGTTAAGAATAATAAATAAATAAATAAATAAATAATGATAATAATAATACCTCTTTTCTTTTTAGCTTACACTTTGGATTGTTAACTAGGGGTTTTCTACCTCGGGTAATCAACAATAATCATCATCATCATCATCATCAACATCAATAACAACAACAACATCGTCATCTTTTTAATAAATGTAATACTAAGAAGCCTTAGGGTCTCCAGGGGTCTCGCTTTCTTCATGAATTTGCTATTTTCATTTTTTTTAAACATGAAGGAAAGATTAAATACTTTATTTATTGGGATGCATTTTAAATAAAATTTATTCGTCTTTTTAAGCTATTTTTCCTAACTGGAGATGTCTATAAAAATAAATAAATAAATAAATAAAAATAAAAATCCCTATCTTTAAAACTAAAAGTGAAAGTGAAAGTGAAAGTGAAAACTATCTCATGAGTGGCAGAAATTGTCCAGCTGTGTAGTTAGCAATTTTAACAACAAACCAATAAATGGGATAAAAAAAAAAATGGTTTTTCCATGAATCCGATTTGTCCCAGTAGAAATAAATGGCATTCATTGTATATAACATTTCAACATTTTTTATTAATTTCTTTCTCGTTGATAAAACAAACGCTGTCTGACCACCTCGAACTCTATCTCAACCTAAAACACACCCTTGCCAGTGCCCAATACCTTCGAACAAGCCAACAAATTCCCACGTTTTTATGTATTTAAGTTTAAAATAATTTTTAATACGTATATATATATATATTAAGCAGAGAACAAGCAGTAAACAAAAGTACAAGCCTACTTGGTTAGTGAGATAGTTACAAATTTATTTTTCACCGGCGCCTAGTGGTCGGTGTTCGAGTACAGGTTACAAAAGTTTATTCATATATTTTCATGTTTAACTTGAACCTGTGACAAGGATCCATAATTAAATAGCGAAGTCTATGAGGATCGAACTCACAGCAGTTATACAAGCGAATTTCTCCGCAAGACGAGCTTCCAGACTATCACACTACGGTAGGCGTCCTTAAACTTAGCTTAAAAAAAGGGAGAAAAAAATGTAGATTATTAGTCTACAACTAGTGAGGTTGAAATATATGAATGTTGAATGAATTTAAATTGGTTTGTGAAACGAACCCGAGCAAATGTAAACGCCTTGGTAGAATTCCAAATAAAATGTTGATTTTTTTTTTTTTTTTTTAAAGGCAAGCCCTTCCCATATGAATGATTGCGCGACAGAGTCTTCTTTTCTGACTTTCATCAGTAGCTCTGTGCTGGACAAAGCTACATTTCAATAGCAAGATGTGAGTTGTTTATATATTTTGAAAATGAAGCGTTCTTGCAATATAAGGCATGATAAAAATAATAAAAAAAGAAAGAAAAGAAAAGAAGATTGCCTTCAGCAGCAAATACGATCTTTCCCTCTATTACCGATCTCATTTTTTTTTTTTTTTTTTTTTTTTTACAGGAAAACAAAGGAAATTCCGAGAGATGGTTATTTGGCGGAGAGACACTGGCTTGGATATTTGTAGGGGCAGGATACTTAAACAAACGTATATGGAAGAAGGAAAAAAAGCAATATAACACACACACACACACACACACACACACACACACACACACACACACACACACACACACACACATAAAGAGACAACGAAAGAAACATGATATTTCTCTATTTCATCTTTTTTTTCACCTCTGAAAATAGATAGCAAACTTGGCGGGTCGCTTTACTGACGTTTGTTTATCAAGCAGCATTCAATGCTACAAAAAGAGCGAGCTGCAGCCCTTTATACTCTCATAGCTCGCTTATACTTTGCTGCAGTTTGGAAGCAAACAATAACACACACACACACTGTCATAAGCATCGATAGTCTAGCCAAAAGGATGCCGTCGGAGTAAAGAAACACTGATGTTATTCTTTAGAATAAAATTAAATGCCATAAAGATCTTTCTTCTTTTCGTTTTTAAAATAATTATTATCTAAAAATTAAAAATGATTGCATATTTATTCATTCCACATTTGTTTGGGTTTTTAAAGCCATTTTTTACTGCAAAACAAAACCCAAGTGTTTATCTGACTAAATATAAAATACCTCTTTTTTCGAATCAAGAAACAGTGTTTTAAATAAAATTCTGAAAGAAAACAGACACACATGCAGTCAAACTGGTGCCAATTCACGCTTCAAAAAATGACAGTGACATGTGAAGCTTGTTAGTACCTGCATGCCAAAAAGAGCAGGACGCATGTTAATAATTCCAAAATAAA